TCCATTATTATTATTACCAATTAATTCATTATAACTAATTAACTCATTTCAATTTCCCTTATCACCAACAGTTATTAGTAATTGAAGTCATAAAATTTGGCGGATATGATTTTTCCATCTTAGGGAATATATGTAACGTGATAATATATAAGTGAAAGAAGAGTGCTCACGCCATATTTTTTTAAATCACCGGTAGGTAGGTAACCAGCAATTTGATTTCCCACTTCTCCAAAAACACGGTTTACTTTATCGTTGGGACACCGACATTTAATTTCAATATTTCTTTTTTCAGGAGCACTGGGTCCTTCCTCTTCTGTTTCTCCTGAAATTTCAATTAATTCATCAGTAAAGTTCTTATTCTTTACATATTTGAACAGGAAGCATAAATTCATTCAAATTTCCTAATATGCACTACTTCAAAATAGTTCAGTTAAATTTAAAATTTTGAAAATTCAAAAAGTGTACCTGTCGCTGATGCAATGTTGGATGATATTACGGCGAATATAAGGATAGCAAAATATTCGAAGTGCATTGCTATCAGTAGCTGTAAATTAAAAATGTACTCAATGATTCGAATAATCGTTCGAATTTGTCAAAATTTTACTATCATAAATGGATTTCGAATTCTTAGAAGTTTGAGAGAATGAATCCAATCATTTTGGATGTGTAATAAATCTGTTTGCTAAAGAATGCAATCTTTCCCGAGTAATTAGTTCACTTTATTGTATGTTTCTTTTAATGGGTAACGACGGTAAATGATTAGCAAAGATTTAGACCCAAATTCGGTTGCTTCAGTAATGGATAGACTCTTTCAGCTACTATGACTAATTAAGATTATGAAATGAGAAGAAGAAATTGTTGAAACGAATTTGGTGAGGAAGAAAGCAGTTTGTGACGGTAGACTGAATTCTGAAGGAAAATATGGACCTTTTATAGTGAAAAGATCGGATCAGTCAAAGATCAGAAAGACTCAAAAAAATCGAAATAAATCTCAATTTTCCTTTTTGCATTGAATAGTAATGCATTGTAAAATAGAAAGTATTTCATACAGATTATGCAAAGAAAAGTGAATAATACTGTCACAAGCAGTTTTTCTATAGAAATTGGGATTAACAGAATATTTTGTGTCACTGGAAGCTTTCCATTGAATTTTCACAAATAGTCTTTCTAAATAAATTGGGATTAACAGAATATTTCGTGTCACTGGAAGCCTTCCATTGAATTACATAAATTTGCATTTGTGTCAGAAATAGAAGCGTATTAAGGTAAGCTGGACCATCGACTGTCATTATTTTCCATCCAGGGAAAGTTTAATTTAAAGCGAGGTTTTTTTTGCTATTATACACAGATTCTCAAATTTTTATTTTCGAGAAAGGTTTCTTTCATAATAAATATGACGCTCGTTTTTTTCTCACTCTTCAAACTTCATTATAAAATTTACCTAATATGAATGATGATAAGTATTGCTTGACTAAATATGGTTCAGTATTGCAATATTTCCTTCAATCATCAAAACTAGTATATGCAAATTGCTATGTGATGCTAATGACCAATATGATTAATACTTGCAATCTGCATAAATTTTCCTACAAAAAACATTCTATAACATTAAATTTTAGAATTTCGACAATAACGATACGATAATTCATCTTTAAAAACAACAGAAATGATTCTTTTTTCTCTTTCAAAATTGATTCTTGAAGTAAATTTTCGATTCACCAAATGTATTTTAAG